ATATAAGATAGAAAGAATATTCAGCCATACCTTTCTAGCATTGGCTTGATTGGAGTGAGTAAAAGTGATGAGGCTTTGAGAGATAGAACCAAAAATCCAAAGTATTACCCTGGAGACAAGTTCTAGCCATTCAGAATTCGTAGGAGGTTGATTAGGATAATCATATATGTTGTCGGTATGGTCCAAAACATCGTATGCAATACAGTGAGCATTGAAAAGGCGCTCCATGGATCATAACATGTTTTGTTGTAATATCTAGAATCAAAGGTATGTATGTTTTAATATTAGCTATACCATACAACTTGTGTGTAGGTTTTGGAGAGTTATGTTTTTCTCCTGCCATGATGGGTAAAGACTAATAAGAACAAATAGGAGGGGGAGGATGAGGAGGAGAAAGAGGAGGAGGAGGAGGAGGAGGAGGAGGAAAAGAAGAAAAAGAAGAAGAAGAAGAAGAAGAAGAAGAAGAAGAAGAATAGGATGAGGAATAATCATGAAATAAGAGAGGGAAGACGACTGATAACGGACCGACAGTGTTAAATGATTATTTTCCAATGAATGATTCTACATTAGATAAATGTGTGTGTATGTGTGTGTGTGTGTGTGTGTATATATATATAATATATATATATATATATATATATATATATATATATATATATATATATATAAGTCATATGGGCCAAATACAATGGGCTAACAATACAATACATAAACACATATACATAATATTATACCCGCTAACAAGATACAAGATAGGAAATTAAAACCAAAGCAATTGAAATATATATATAGATATATATATATATACATACATATATATATATATATATATATATATATATATATATATATATATACACACACATATGGCTAGGTTATTTTGTTTCTTACATCTATTGTGTGCCCGCAAGCACAATTTTGGACCAATAGATGAATAAAATCGATGGTCAGAGGGTCTACGATATTACAATAGGGTAACATGTATCATATAATCACTCAAATTTAATTAAAAGGGTATTTTAGACAATTAAATATATTTAAAAAATGAAAATTTCAAAATTAAAGGGTTAATTATGATTTTTTTAAAATAATTCAACTTCAGTTCTAATTTAATTTGTAATCATAACTGATTATAACTTATTTTATTCTGTCAGAATCCGATTCTATTAGAATGAAATTTTGTTATAATGACATTCTGTTAGAATATCAGTTTATGACATCCTTTAAGAATACATAAATAAGAGGAAAACATGAATAAGTACATTATAAAACAAAATACAAAATCGATTCTTGAACTAATAATATATCAAATAATTATATTCTATGATTGTGATACAAAAAGAACATCTTGAATAATAACAACATTATGAAAGAATAACAAGTGTAATTCTTAAAAAACAACATTCTTAAAATATGAGCATGATCAATCTTCGATTGATTCTTCACGTCATTCCTATAAGGTCTTCAAGTCATTCCTATCACAAATGCAACAAAAACATCAAAAATCCAACAAAAAACACTAATTCATTCTGAAAGAATAATGTTGCTAAGATTCATTTTATACATTCTACTATAAGGCACTCTTGTTCTCCATATTTTTTTTTTCCTTTTCCACATGAATAACAAACTCTTCAAAACCTAAAAAGAAAAAAAAAACCATTAAAATCTAACAAAAATACTAATCTATTCTAAAATAATATTATTGATAAGATTTGTTTTATAAATTTTGGTAGATACATAAACTACATTCTACTAGAATACAAGCATTCTAAAAGCATGGATTTATATAAAAAAAATTCTGACAGAATACACACAATTCCATTCACACCTCATACTCAACTTTCAAATCATAATAGACTAATTTCTTCTAAAAAAACAACACCAATTGGGTTTTTTTTATATATTGCAAGAGAGAAAAAGTAAAAAAACAAACATTAATGGTATCCTACAAAAGAATTACAAGTTTAATAATGCATAGATTCTTCAAAATCTTGATATATATTCTGGTACAATACATAGAATATGGCAGAATATATGGGTATGTTAGCAATATTTGCTTGGAAATTTCATCCTTACCACAACTGGTCAAATATTTCGCAAGCATGTTGATGGTAAAAATTACTAGAAAGTATGTTTTAAATATGAAATTAGTCAGTTACCGAGAATTTGGCTTGAAACATCTCTTATGCTTTCTAGCTATTGCAATTGAGAGATGAGATGATAAACTTTTTTGGTCACGAGTTCCATTGGACGTCTCCATTGCAAAAAAAGGACACTTGAGGTTCGATTTCTTGCAACACGGGGAGCATGATATGTGCCCATTCTCACACTACAACTAAAAAAAACATGTTATGATTAGTACAAGAGCAAAGCGGTATTCAGATATTCAAATTCAAAGAAGGAAAGTATTAATTACCTGATAGATTGGGGCGCACAATCGAGCAATTGCATTAGGAAGAAGAGTAGTCGAACAGAGGATCTAGAAGTTGCTATCATGATGACGGATAATAGTGGATGCCAGATCGTGTTTGAGAAATATATATAGAATCGTTTAGATCCCGATCCCCAAACGAAATTATTACTCCCTTCGTCATATCAATCACGCTTGTTGATGGCATCAATGGAGTATATGTTGGTGTTTCATGGAGATGCGACGGTGGTGCTCAGATGGCTGGGATCGATTTCTGGTGGAAAAGAGGAACAGAGGTATCGATGATTTGAGGAGGTCGTCGTACTCCTTAGGGTTAGAGATGTTGGTTTTGTAGGGTTTAACTCATTTATGAAAGATTAATTGAATTAATTTTTTTACCATAATTAGATATACTAAGTTTACCATTATACTTTTTTAATTTATGTAATGATTTATTATTTTTGAATTCTCATTGATGCATACATGCACACAATAGTTGTTAAAACATTTGATATATATATATATATATATATATATATATATATATATATATATATATATATATATATATATATATATATATATATAACGCGGAACGGGAAATTCACAAAGTTTTAAAAATCGGGTTTTTAGTTAAGCCAGTATGGTGATTGGTCCTGGTTTAACCCGGTTTCTAAAATCTATATAATTTCCATATCAAACAAAATTTACATAGTGTTAGTATAAAAAAACTTCATAAGATTTACCAAACAAAATCAAAAAGTTTCATAATATTTGTTATTTTTAATAACAAAGTCACAGCATTTAAACTATTATATATATATATATATATATATATATATATATATATATATATATATATATATATATATATATATATATATATATATATATATATATATCAAAGATCCAATACATAGGAGTTCTCTTTTATTTTGAGGGTCTACAATTAGAAATCAAATTAGGGATGAGCGTGGGACGGAACCAGTACCGACCCGTACCATTTCCGATTTTCCAAAAACCGAATTTGGTCAAAAGTCAATCCCGAGTACCAAACCGAATTAACATCACCAGGAATGGTACCGGTTTCCGGTACTAGTACCGGTACCGGTGGTATCGATTCCCGAATTTCATATATTTGGAGTACTAAGTACCGTCCCATATTTTTAAATTTGGAACAAACTACTCATCCCTAAATCAAATCAAGTGTTATTTGATTATCTCATATTCGAAAGATTATCATATTTACTTTCTGAAATTGACAAAAATGGATATGTAAGTCTGTAATGGTGATCAAACAAAAGAAGTCTAAATATATGTGAAAAGACTAACGAGTCCAATTACACGGGGTCAATTCAACCAGGTTTTCATAAATTAAATAAATAAATAAATAACACCTGTTTTTCCGATCCAAAAATAGACATACAACCGGTAGTAGTTGAATGGTTCTATTCTTTGGTTTTTTAATACATTGGGTATTTGCAGCATTCACACCATCCCTTTCATCAAAGATTCAAATCCAAAGATGATAGAGATCAAAGCAAATCGGAATTTTGTTTTAAACGAAGATTTTTCTTTATTCGATTTTAAAAACCAACAACCAAAAGTACTAAATGATCTCAAAAGCTAGTTGACAAAGGTATTTATATAGAGAGAGAAACGCATATCACATAATTAAAAAGCTCTAAATTCTATGTCTTCGTCGTTGTCAAGTTCTTTAGTTTTCTGTTCTTTTATATATTACGTCAATAAATTTATTATAACTATATAAAAGATAGTATAGTTAGCATGATTATAAAAGTTAGATTGGATAAATAATAATTTTTTCTAGTATGCCACTAAAAAAAGGTTTAATAATAGTAAAATACAATGATATACATTACTAAATATCATACTTTATAGTTGTACACATAACAATAAATGAAACAATTTATAATTTGGCTTCTAAGCAATGGCTTATTATAAGAAAAGTTATATTCCAATACTCGTTATTTATTTGCTTTTATTTGACTTCGTTAATACTATATAATAACTTTCGATCTGATTTATCCTCAAATAAATACAAAATGTTTCATTTTAGGTTACATAAAAAAGTATTTACATTTAAAAAATAACACAACAAAAACAGTTATAGTATTAAATTATTACTCTGACATACATATTTGATATTTGTCACATTTCACTACTTTTCCGTTTAGAATCAGTCACGTTCTATAAAAAGCTCAGACAGAATCAATCATATTTAGAAAATTTGTCAGTCACAAGATCATAAATAAATCAATTATTTAAGATTCCCATTACAAAAAAGAAAAAAAGAAAACCAGTCACATTTTTAAAAAAATAATAATAAAAAAAAATCCAAAATACATAATAACATGCATCAAGATTAATTCAAAATCAATACTACAACTACAATAACACCCAATCCGATTTCCTAAATTACACCTTCTACAAATTAAGTCGAAATCACTTAAAACTAATAAAAAACATATCAATCATACAAAGATCCAAGAAATCCTAAAATACAACTCGATACAAATTCCACATAATTAGCGTTTTCAATCACCATTAATCCAATAAGCTCAAGTTCTCAATTGCGAAGCATGTTCATGGTGGAATTTGGCCACCCCATGTTGGAGTACATGGGCATGGGTGGTGGTTGTTGCTGACTGGGATTGTTATAGGACCCAGGGGTGGGCCGGCGAAGAGGACTGCCACCACCACCACCACCACCACCGCCACCACCACTCTCCTCAGATGACTCGCTTGACGGCCCGTCAGATGGTGGACTAGCTCCTGGAACCGACCCTGGCCCGCTGCCAAAATTCAACATGTTTGCTGGTGGTGCCGCTGCTGTGCCGCCACTAGATTTTGGTTTCTTTGCATCTGTAATAAAGCTTCCAACCACCACCTGGTGGATAGATTACAGTCAAAATGGCCGGCATTTAGTCACAGAGAGAGAGAGAGAGAGAGAGAGAGGCTGACCTGGACAGGGGTGGCGGCAACTAAAGATCCGGCGACTCCGCCGCCCAAAACCCGCCCATCTGAACCTGCAAGAGAAACACTCAGGCCACTTGATCGGTTGCCTTGGCTGTTGCCATTACTGTCTGCGAGTAGGAAGGAGCCCGATAAAGATATTATCTCAAACCGCCCCTGAAAAAAAAAATTAAAAATTAAAAAAAAAAAAATGACATGTCATGACAAATTGTACTGTGTTAGGCATGCACTGAGACTGATGTCAATGAGACAGGACAAACGGTTGTTACACATGACATGACATACTGCACAGTCATTTGACATGCATCGGACTGAGACCGATGTGAATAGAACAAGTTTGTTACACAGGACGGACTGAGACTGATGTCAATGGCACAAAAAGTGGAATTTTGTGTCAACCAAAAAAGGTGGGACAAGGACTCTTGTAATATCTCGTTTGTAGAAAAGACATAAATGCCCTTATCATTGAAAAATAGTCGTAGAAAGCTTGTCGAGTATAGAGGGGTATAAGGTGGAAATGTACCTCATAAGTTACAGAGCCACCGGACATGGCTGGTTGACGGAGAGTGACATTGCTGATGGCACCGTTGGCTGAAAGGATACAGACAGTACGAGGTCCTTGTTGTGAAAAGGCGGTGATCTTCGAGGCTATATCCTGTCAATTTTACAAAGTACAAGGGTTTATATTATATTCTTATTTGGCAAATTTTCAAACATAAAATAACTTGTTTTGTAAATTTGTAATTTGTATCCTACTTTTCATCCTTACAAGAACCTAAAAAATATCTAATTCATAACACAATTAAGACGTATCACTTGCTTTTTGCATGAAACGTTTTCTAATGGATATACATAAAGTCAACATATATTAATATATAGGGATACATGTGTTGATTTAACCCTAATTTTCGTACTCTAAGTAAATATTTGAAATAGAACTTGTACCATATGTGAAGATAAGCATGGGCATAAAGGTCATTTTAGCTTTAAATAGGTTGTTGCATCCATTAAATTATCCCAAAACAAAGATTGTTGAAATAAACACTTAACGAAGAGAAAAAAGGAAGAATTGAGGGAAAAGAAACATGTTACAATTTACTAATAGCGATTAAAATATATAACATGCATTTTATTATATCTTAAGTTCTTAACCACTCAAATTCACATAGGAAATTTGGGAAAAAGAACAAATGTTATAATAAGAATCTTCATATGGTATAAAACTATAATGCAACCTTTTAGTTGGAAAGCATTTACTAAAGCTCCATGTTTTAAATGTGATTCATATTTCATAAAAACAAGAAACAGAAAATAGATAAAAGCTTCAAAAATAGATCTTAATTCTATAAATCATTTCTGAAAGTTGATGGAAATACCTCTCCTGCTTTAACTGTGATGACATGAGGTGTAAAACCAACACCAGGTGCACCTATCAATCATATAACATAATAAATTTTAACAAAATACAAATTAATATATTCAAAAGCATCCCAATTTAATAAAGGTGTCAAGTAATCATAACCTTATCTATGTAGATTCAACTAGAATGCAAAATGATCAATAATAAGTCCTAAACACAATGATCGTATATCCATATGTGCACCATTGAACAAAAACACAATACAGGAATCGTTTTTTATAGACACCAATCCCTCGATTTAGAAGTTAAGTGGTAAAGAAGCTATCAAATTCAAGATTGTTTTAAAGGGAAAAGAGTGATTCGAATAGGCAAATGTAAGTTGTAAATATGTAATTACTATTTACTAAGCTGATTAACTACTTAATTCAACAAATTAAAGTAATAATCAGCCAATAATTCTTATCAGAAATTACTAAAATAAGATTTTGCACACAATTTGCGACTAGAATTACTTGATTATCATGGAATTCATCAAGAAAAATCAATTTTTTTTACCTAAAGCATCCAATTGCCTCTTCCCTGAACCAGGTGGCCTTCCTCTGTGTTTCTTAGCTGAGGGATCGGTGTTCGGGGTGGCAGTAGCGCCATCATTGGAAGATTCCAACTGCCCACCGCCACCACCAGCTGCAGTAGCTCCGGTGGTAACCGGAGCAGGAGCTAAAGCAAGCGCAATGTTGCCATCAGGCGACGGGGAATACTTCCTTGGTCGACCTCGCTTCTTCCTCGCCGGCTCAATGCTAAACCCGCCAGCCCTAAATCCGCCAGGAGGAGACGATCCGTCTCCGTACTGGTCAGGACCATCAAAAGCGAAACGCTGTTGCAACGAATCGGGACTTATGATACTGTTGTTGTTCGTCGGAGCAGTGTTGGAGTTGTTAGGTAGGTGGTGGTGGTGATGGGAATTGAATGGGTTTGGCTGCATCATCATCGCCGGTGGAAGCTGCCGTTGGTGGTGGGGTTGATGCCGTTGGAGCGACGGTGGCTGTGCTAACGACTCTCGCGAGTCCATTTCTGAGGAAAATCAAGCGAGCTGTTTGTGGGTTTTCCTTGATCTTGAAATGCAGGTGGATCTTTACTACGCCTACTTGAAACCTACCAAGTTGAAAAATGCAATTTAGGGGTTTGAAGAAAGAAAGTAAAAGAAGGAAATTAGGGTTTTAAAGAACAGATTTTTTTGATTTTGCTGCCGCCGTATAAACACGAAACGGTGATTACATCTACAAGACTACAAGTTGGGTATTGATGTAAAGGTATACATACACTGCACATACAGAGCTTTTGACACCTGGTGTGGTGATCATGGTCAATCTTGCTTACACATTTCGTCGACACTTTTGAATCTTCATATAAATCTTATATACTCTTTTTGACTATTAAAAAAATCAAGACAAATTTTTGATTCAAAAATATTCCATAGATTATTATATGCTTGTAAATAGATATTTGTAGTTGTTATATTTAAAGGGTTAATATAGAGAAGTTGTTACATTTTAATGGAATTATTGAAAATATGTTATATTTTTTTAACAAAATAAATGTTATATGATTTTTGACCGTTTTAGAATGTCATTTTGATGGTTTCAAAATTATTTTATTCATGGATATTAACTGCGTTACAATTATGAAAAAAATATATATATTATGTTAGATTGTATTTCTTTTTTACACTTAGGATCATCAAGGAATAGATCAAGTATGCAAAAGGTTCTTTTATCTCTTAATTTTCAAATAGAAAACCAACATCAAAATAATAGTGGCGGGGTGGGTGAGGTGTTTTGTAACGTCCTAAAAATCACAACCAAATTATTATTTTTAAATTATATAAAAACATAGTTTTCAGGAAAGCCAAGTCAAGAAAATCATAAGCAACAAAATACAATCATCCCAAAATCAGGGTATCATAAAATACGGAATCATTAAAATTGTCGAGGAGAGTGTATAGTTAAGCTTTCGCATTCCCGCGATCATCTGAAGTACCTGAAATACATTTAAATCAACAATTGTAAGGGCGAAGCTTAGTGAGTTCCCCAAAATATCACATACAACACAACATAAATAAACAACTATGGGTTATCAGCAACCCTTGGGGACTATCAGCAGTCTCAATCGGCTAACAGCACGTCCTATAGGTTAACAGCACGTCCTATGGGTTATCAGCAATGTTAGGGACTATCAGCAGTCCCAATGGGCTAACAGCATGCATTGGATCTATCAGCAGCTCAGTAACACATAACAGCAATCGACAAATAAGACCTAGCTAGTCAACATACACACACTATGGTAGTAATACATTGAGAAGACTTACCTTGCAGACAACAGCTAAATACAACAACTTTCATGTAGAGAGGACATGTACAACAAGATACCTAACAACAATTAAAAAAAGTACCCTCTCAATCTACACCCTAAACCCTTAAATTGACCAATAGTCAAATATGGTCAAAAGTCAACGACCAAAGTCAGCCCCACCCGATTGTCACGTCGTGGCCACCCACTGGTCACGTTGTAACATCCCAAAAATCATGATAAAATTTTTGATTTTTCATAAACCATACGTCGTACAAAAACAATAATCATAAAATCAGAGTATCTAAACATCTCGCAAGTCATAGAAATCCATATGATGATGTGTACGATTAAGCCTTTGACTTCCCCCGATTAAGCCTTTGACTTCCTCCAATCATCTAAAGTACCTGAAACAATGAAATCCGCAACTGTAAGCCAAAACATAGTGAGTTTCCCTCAAATTACTCCACATAATAATACAATAATAATTACATGACATGTATACAGGGTTTGTTGACTCATTGCCTCAACCCACCCATTCAGGGTTTGTTGGCATATTGTTGGCATATTGTTGGCATATTGCCTTAACCTAACCATCCAGGGTTTGTTGGCTTATAGCCTCAACCCACCCATCACATGTTTGTTGGTCTACCACACGAAGCAATACCATCTCAACCTACCCATCTAGGGTTTGTTGTCCTCCCGCCTTAACTTAAACACCAATATGTCGGCATATGCAACAGATAAACAATAATTAACAACTACAGGTAATCATACATATCTACCAATCTAACAGGTCACTATAGTATAGCAAGATCTTACATATATATATCAGGATACATAACACAACTTAGTAGGCCAGCATTAGTGCCTTCAACCCACAAGTGTAGTGAGGAAAACTCACCTCAAGCTCAAAAGATAATCGAACTGGTCAATGCTCCAAATATCGGATCTACATGTCACCTATACATCAAACAGAAACCAAATCTCAATCTACTACTCAAAATACCCTAAAAGACTTAAAGTCAAACTTGGTCAAAGTAAAGGTCAATGGTCAACTTCTAGTTGAACTACGCCCTGTGTATAGCATAAGGTGGCAAATACGATCAATTAAGGGGTTACACACTGTGTAGCCTGAGTTATGCGCTACGTAACTATGATGCTACCAAAACTTCCCATTGAGTGTTTAATACATAAAGACACCACATCCAACTCTCAGATCTATGCCTAATAAATGTCCTAAGAGATAAAGTTCCGAACTTTATGCATTTGCATGGCTTATAAAGGCTCAAAGACAAACCCTAATCTCATTACAACTTTTAAGGACCAAAAACTCATGCTTGGATGGTTGTAAGTGATCAAGATCCAATTTTTATGACTCTAGCAACCTCAAACATTCCTAGAAAAGCAATATACAAGGTCTAGAGTAGCTCAAACTCAAATAGACTAAGACAATGGGACCAAAAAGGCATAAAATTTAACATCCTAGCTAGATATAAAAAAGGAAGCATAGAGGTATAAACTTTATACCATCTGGAGATGGATACGAAAGACCCTCACTTTCGTATTTATGAAAGACCCAAACTTTCATACTTGACAATATAGTTACTCCAAAACATGCTACTTGCACATTCATAAAAACAATAATTTACATTGATAAAGAGGTTACAAACTACTGGATACAAACCAACTATTTTAAAGGGCTATTTATTACATAACTTCCCAGGATTCTATAGTTTTATACATATGGGAGTGCAAAATACAATAGTTTCAAACTATTCATAAGCTTCTATCAATACAATAGTTTCAAACTATTCAAAAATCTTCTACCTATATATAACTATACTGGATGCTTATCTCCTACAATTTTTTAAACATTGAGAAGGTAAGCGGTGACGCTTAGTGAGTTCAATAATAGAAACAATATAACGTTATGCCATATATATACCTCAATATGGCAGAAGCAAAGAGGAACAAGGAACAACAAGGACATATGTGAATCATGTGACAAACTTTCCATATCAATCATTGATTTGATTTAAAGATATACAATCAATGAGACATAACAATTTCCATACTTGATATACATCAACAAAGCTTTGACCCAAATGGAAAAGAAGACATACAACTTCGGATTAACATTTTGGTAGATTTCAGGCTTATAGCCCTATCTAACCTTCTGCCAATACCATAGAATAGAATTCATTCTCTTACAGAGATATGTTCTACATGGCCAGAGGCTACATACCAGTACCAACATGAATCTAAGTCCTTTCACTGATCACATGGTCAAAGGTATTTCTTTGCTATTAAAAATAGCAAATAAAAATAACATGGGAAAATAACCCGGAATAATAACACTGAAAAGCACATAACACATATAATACATAACATATAGTTGTTCCTATATATTAAACTCACCATGAAATAACCGGGGGCTAAAATATTAATTTGGGTAGCACTTCGGCTCTAAATATAACTTTCTTCGTTGAAAACCGGGAGTTTTCTTGATAACCGGGCTCTGCGAAGGTAGAGCTTCAAAGATGAAAAGATAATTTTTCGGGCTTCTTGGGCACTATGGGGCGTGTTTCGGGTGTTAAAAATAATATCGGGGCTTTGGGGGAAGTCGAAATAGCCAAAATATGAATAAGGGGTGAAAAAGTGGCAATTTCTCCAAATTACCCGAGAAGGCTCGCAAGCCTTGTATTTATAGGGCGAAAATGTGAGGGTTCGGCCAAGAAAGAGGAGTCGGCGAGGCAGGTTGCAGCCACGGTGCGAGGCCAGGTGGAGGCGCAAGGCTCGGACACGCGGAGGGGGGAAGCTGGCGCTTCGGACTCCGGGTCAAACACGCGTCGGACGCTCGGACACACAGCGCATGCATCGGACATGAGGATCAACAACCTCGAAGACGAGGCGTACATGGGTTAGACATGCGCGAATCTGACGACGTGGCTGAAGCTGAGCCATGCGATTTTCTCGGATTTCGTAATTAATTTCGATTTTTGTGCCCCGAACTTCTAAAATCCATAACTTTCGCATACGGGCTCCGTTTTTGACGTTCTTTATATGCACGCATAGGTAAAATTATGCTCTACAACTTTTGTTTAGACTTCGTCGGCTAATTTTGACTTTATTTTTAATATTATTATTTTTAACAGACTGGGACTGGTAAATCTATTAAAAATTCATAACTTCTTCATCCGACATCCGTTTTCATCAGAATTTTTACCGTTGTACTACTAATGACGAGACCTTCAATTCTCATTTAGGTTGTGTCGGCTAAAAATTAGTTGATCTAAAATTCGAGTTTTTAGTTGTCTACTGCTAAGTTGAAACTTAGAAAAATCATAACTTCCTCATACGAAGTCAGATTTTGGCGTTCTTTTTATCGAACTTCTCAGTTTAACGAATACTAAGACTTTCATTTAGATTACTAAGGATAAAAAGTAGTTTATCAGAAACTCATTTTTTACATCATTCGGCGTCGTGTCGGTTTTGTCGCATATCTTCGATTGGTTATAACTTCTTCGTTATAACTCGGATTTCAATAAGGTTTTCGCCTAAATGTTTCTAAAGATATTATATAAAACTTTCAATAATAAAATTTTACTTATTCCAAATTTTATATTTTCGTTAAATTTCACTATTTGACATTTGATTGGAATCTCATAAGACTTCAAATACTTTCTGAATGATTCTAAGCATAGTTTTACTTCAAATCCAGTAAAAACTATCTGTTAGAACTCAATGTTCAAATTCACATAATATTTCATAATATTATTTACTTAAAACACGATTTCAAAACGTTTATGTTACAGGACGAGATTCGGTAGATCATAGATCTACAAGCTTGAGCACTCCAATCTTCAATAATGGGGATCTTCCTTCTACAAAGTGCACCAAAATATCACACAAAGGCCTCAAAAATCACTCAAGGGAATTATGGTTTCAAGAGGTGGGTATGAATGGGTGGAAGCTAATGGTAAGAAGGCCCTCAAGGGGTCAGAGACATGAAATATGGGTCACAACCCTGAAAATTAGTGTTTGACATTTACACGGCTACGCCCAACATAAATCATTTGAGTCAGGTGTCCACTACTCCTTTTACGCACTGCATTGAAGGCTATTTTACTCCTCATGCATAATCAAAACACTTAAGT